CCTGGGCTCCACCCCCCAGCTCTGCCGGTGCCCCTCAATCCCGACCCTCAGACCCCTGCTATCCCAGCCCTGGGCTCCCCCACACCCAGCTCTGCTGATGTCCATCAGTTCTGTTTGACAGGAGACTGCCCAAGGGGAGGAGCACAGCTGACAGCCCCCCTCCGCCCCCCAGCTGCTGGATTGAACACACTGGCCCCTCCCCCCATGAGGCAGATGCGCCCCTTACCTGTCTGGTCAAATTCAATAGGGGTGCAGCTGCTGTTGCCCCGGTGCCAGGGGCAGTAGTAGACGGCCCCGCCCTGCGTGACATTGGGCTGGCTTGTGTTGGCCTTGGGAGCTCCGACGAGGATGCTGATACTGCTGGGAAAGGGAGGAGGAAAGGGCCATGAGTCGGAGACGGCAGCTGAGCAGGGCCCCTCTCCCCCAGCCACCCCAGGGTCCCTTCCCAGTTCCCAGGCTCCCTGCAGATGGGCCATGAGCCACTGCTCCAGCGCCCGCCGTGCCCCCCGCATGCTCCATGGGCATGGCTGGTACAAGGGACTGTGGGAGCTGTCTGCAGAGCGCTGGTGATTGTTCTGCAGGTGAGGTCGCTGTCTGCATGCCTGAGACCCTCTGCCCCCGCTATCCCCCCTGTGAGACCCTGGAGTCACTGCAGGAATTAGCATAACCAAGCTGACAGCACAGGGCTGGGGGATGCCCCATCTCTTCCCCTGCTCCCCCAAGGGCTGGGGCTGCCTCACTGGGTACCGGCTGCAGACTCACCGCATGTCAATGTGCCATCCAGGAGGCTTGTCCCTCCCCTGGGATGCACCACCCATCTTCCCCCCAGGAGATCGATACCACCCCTCAGCACAGCCATGGCACCAGCTCCCTGGCCCCAGCGCTGTGGGGGGCATCAGAGCTGCAGTGACCAAGCAGTGCTGTGGGGGGCATCGGAGTTGCGCCGCAGTGACCGAGCAGCACTGTGGGGGACGTCAGAGCTACACCGCAGCGATCAAGCAGGGCTGTGGGGGGCATCAGAGCAGCGCGGTGGGGGCGTCAGAGCTGCACCGCAGTGACTGAGTAGCGCTGTGGGGGGCGTCGGAGCTGCGCCGCAGTGACCAAGCAGCGCTGTGAGGGGCGTCAGAGCAGCGCTGTGGGGGCGTCAGAGCTGCGCCGCAGTGACCGAGCAGCGCTGTGGGGGGCGTCGGAGCTGCGCTGTGGGGGGCGTTGGAGCTATGCTTCAGCGATCGAGCAGCACTGTGGGGGCTTCGGAGCTCTACCTCAGTGACCGAACAGCGCTATGGGGGCGTCAGAGCTGTACTTCAGCAATCGACAGCACTGTGGGGGCGTTGGAGCTGTGCTTCAGTGACCAAGCAGTGCTATGGGGCGTGTCGGAGCTGCGCCGCAGCGACCGAGCAGCGCTGTGTGTGTGGGGGGGGTCGGAGCTGTGCCGCAGTCACCGAGCAGCGCTGTGGGGGGCTGGTCCTTGCGGAATCTCCATCTCTGGAGATATTTAAGAGTAGGTTAGATAAATGTCTATCAGGGATGGTCTAGACAGTATTTGGTCCTGCCATGCGGGCAGGGGACTGGACTCGATGACCTCTCGAGGTCCCTTCCAGTCCTAGAATCTATGAATCTATGACAATCCCATGGGAAAGTGACGGGGTTCGTTCATTAAGGAAAAGCCAGCAGGAAGGAAACAACCAGCCACGGTCTCCGCAAACACTGGCTGCCTATTCCTGATAAGGCCAGGAGGGCACAGGGCCAGAAAGCAGAAGGACCAGAGCTGTTTAAAAAGGGACTTGCTTTTAAGAGAGGGGAGAGAATTGTTGTGGGGGTGGGACGAGACTCCAGAGCAGCACAGGTACCTGCTGTGGTCTGGAGAAGCAGTGGGGGACGGCAGCATCGACAGGGGCCCGGACCCCTGCTTTGAAACAGGGCTGAACCGCTGCAATGACCAGGTGGCTGGAGGGGTAGGGCGGAAGTGCTCTTGTGAGAAGACGCAGGGATTTCCCAGGCCTGACCTCTCCTTCAACAAGGGGCAAATCAACAGCACGGGACCCCTAGCCACTGCACTGGGGCCAGCGCTGACCGCAAGGGGAGAGCGCCCCCCATTGAACACCCCAGCCTGTTTCCTGCAGCACAGTGCCCCCTAGCCACTGCGCTGGGGCCAGCACCGACTGTGAGGGGCGCGTCACTTATAGAATGGCCCAGCCTACTCCCTGCAGCAGAGCTCCACTCCTCATGCCCCCCAAACCCACTCCTCATGCCCCTCCCCTTTCCCCAGCTCTATCGCCCTCTGCACACCCCTCCCCGTGGGGCCCCGGCGCTGAGCTGCAGGGTCTGTAGCCGACCCTTGTCAGTGCCTGGAACAATGGGCCCTTGTTGTGGGCATCCAGGTGTGCACAGAGCAGTTGCGTGGCTGCGATTCACCCACCAGGGCCCAGCCAGGCCTGGGACAGAGCTGAAACCAACCCCAGCCCGTAGGCCCCTGTGAGGAAGAGGGGCGGGCCACTACCGCCAGAACTGGTCCCAACCACTGCCTCCGTTGGGACAGCGACTGGCTGCCGGTCCCCACCACTTAGCCCCCCGGCTGCAGCTGGGACCAAGGCACCAGAATCCCTGCCCCAGGAACCCCAAAAGAGCCCGGTTCCCTGGATTCCCAGTCCAAGGCCCCCACATTCAACAGGAGACTTCCATCCTCCGGTGCGGCCACGATTCCCGACTCGCAGGGACATGCCAGGCCTTTCCCACCTCACTTCCACATCTGGATCGGGCACCTCCAACTCCTCGGGATGGGTCTCTGCACCAATGCCATGAGCTCAGCTTCCCCCCTCCCCAAAAAAACCCACACTCTCAGCAAGGCCACCTCTAAGGCAAGTGCTCCCCAAACTCCACTGGCTGGGCAGTGCTGCCTGCAGGTACCAGGGCGCAGCCTGACCCCACTCCCCATGGCTGTACCCTCTATCTTCTGTAGGGGGTGGCATGAGAGGGCTGTGGGGCCAGTATCCTCCCCACTCAGACCCAGGTTATCCCCCGGTCCCATCAGTCTGAAGGGTCAGCTCAGGCCCTGCCCAACACAATGTAGAATCAGCCTTTGTGACACTCTGTACCTCAAAGCAGCACCCTGGACCCCCATATTCCCCACGGTGATATGACTGTGAGGTTTCTGGTACAAAGTCTGCCTTAGGAGGTACCGTTTACAAAGTCTTGATCCATTGAACATTAATAGCCTGTTGGACCCAGAAAAGGAAAATGGGGAAAGAATATGGGAGCACATGACTGTCTCCTCACTGGTCACTTGGGCAGAGTAGCTGATTCAGATCTGTGCACCCAGACACACAGCCTGTAACTCAGGTCCAGAGAGGGAACTGTGTAACTGGCTTTATGGAGGGGAGCAGTCACACAGCTAACTTCTCGGGGACAGAGAAGGGGGTGACGGAGGGTTCCCCAATCCATGCCCCAGTCTTCCAGGACACCGGTCTTAACATGCTTGTGGAAAGGAATTGTGTTTCTTTAAGTCAAGATGCAGCTCCCATGCCTGTAACAGCCAAGAAGTTGAGTCCAGGAAGCGTTGTCTGTGAGCATGCAAAGGACCCGGCTGGCAGAGGGGAGGGGTTTTCCTCCGGGCTCGTAAGACACAAAAAGCAGCTGCGGGAAAGCTGCTAGGAAAAGATGCGTCTGACCAAACAGTAAACACTTGTAACCCAGAAAGCACAGGTCCCAACCCTGTAGGAAAAGGAGTGGGGGAGGTCTCAGTGCTGGGAGTGGCAAACACAGGGCAAGCCTGAGAGGGGAGATGGATTCCTTGCATATGTACAGTCCTGGGGTTGGGAGACATCTCCACAGAGGGCCAGCCAATAGGCAGAATGCCCTACCTACATCCTCACCTCACCAGACCCTGCAGTACCAAATCCCCAAGGTACGATAGGCTTGAGAACCCATAGTGAAGGGAACACTGAAGGGAAAGAAAAACCAGTAACTGAACACATGCTAAGGTTCCGGAAGGAGCTGGAAGACACAAGGGATATTGAACAAACCAGCCAGTCTAAAGATCTTTGTAAACACCCAACTGCGTACCCCCACCACCTGCGATGAGGTGATGTACCTCAGTTTCCCCTTCCATGCAGCAGACCAGGTTTATTATGGTTTGTCTGTTGTGATAAACTTCAAGCCTTCTTACAGGTACTAGCTGAGAAGCAGCATTACATATGGCCTCTTAACACAGGGTGAGTTTTTATTTACCACTCCTAGCATGTGCAAGATCTTTCCCCCAAAATCATGCACATCGCACTCTTTTTCTAGGGTTTGACAGTGCCAATTTTTTTGTCATCAGGTTTAACATTAACAACACATTTTTTTATCATGAGGTTTAACAGTAGCACCAAAGACACTTGTAAACATCCTCTTTCTGTGGTTTAGTCTCAATAGATGCCTGGGTCTGCTCAAAGGCATCAGCTAGAGACGCCATCTCATCCACAGTTTTCATATTGTTGTCCCATAGACACTGTTTCACATCATCTTTACGTATGCTTAGGAAACGCTCCTGAGCAGCAGGGCCAAACACTTGTTCAAAACTTTCAACACCTTTTCCCCTCACCCATTTTCCCATCAGATCTTTCATCCTGTTTACATATTCCCCATTACTCAGACCAGCACTCCTCTGAAGGTTTCTAAATTTCACCCTCTGCGTTTCAGAGGTGATCTGAAATCGATTCACAACTATTTCTTTGAACCTGCAGTAATGTAAAGCATCCTGAATTGGCATGTCATTGAATACATCCAGAGCTTTACCAGTTAACTCTGCAATCAGGGTGGGGACTCTCTTGTCATCGGGAATCTCATGAATTGTGCACAGCCTCTCAAAAGCAGTAAAATATTCTGTGACATCATCTGTCTCTTTGTATGCAGGACACAATTGGTCCCGTTTGTGGACTTTTGGAGAGATGGGAATAGTTGGGCTTGGTAGTTTCTTGGTGAGGGGACCCCAGAGCTGTGGGCGGCAGGGGTACCCTGCAGCCCCCAGCTGCTGCAGGCAGCAGGGGCCCTGGCAGTTCCCAGTCGTGGGGGGGGGGCCCCGAAGCTCCTAGCCCCCACGCAGCTGCCCCGCTACAGGCGGTGTGGGCACCCACAGGTCCCCATTTTGTCACAGATATTTTTAGTGAGTCAGGGATAGGTCACGGCTTCGGTTCATTTTTCTTTATTGCCTGTGACCTGTCTGTGACTTTTACAAAAAATATACATGATAAAATCTTAGCCTTAAGTGTGATGTGTCTGGTGCAAAGTCTGCCTTGGGAGGTGTGATTGAAACGTGATCGATTGAACATTACTACCCTGTTGGATTGTAATGTGCTAGCATTGTATGGGAAGTTATG